ACACGATTTAAAGTCAAGGTGGAAAAGGTTGTAAATGTGTCTTAAAACCTTTGTTGATGAAGAGAAAGAAAACATATTTTAGAGATTGCATTTACCGCAAAAATTAGAAGTTTTAGAAAGTCAGATGAAAAGTTGAGGGGAAAAAATTAGTTCGTGAATAGTGTAGTATGTACGGTAAATAGTTCTATCAGTACAGATGAATAGTGATGCCCATACGATGAATAGTGTTGTCCGTACGGTGAATAGTGTTTTTGAGTTTTCGGTTTTTTTCGATTTGGTCCATGGATCCATGTGATTTTGGGCTTTGTTTGTTGGGTATTTGTTATTATAAATATGTATCTCTTATATGTTTGGTGTGTGACAATCTTAGAGTTTTCAGCAACGAGGGAGACCAAGAGTTTAAAGGTATAACATAGGGTTTCAACTATGCACAAAGAAAATATTGGATTACACCTTGGGTTTGAGAGATTCATATATTGAGAGTTAGAGAGGTAGGGAAACACTTGGGTAGAAAATAGGGTTAGGGTTGTTCTTGGGCGCCTTCAGGGTTGTTCTTGGGAACCTGAAGGCGAAGGCTATTTTCTTGTAAGAGATACATATTGCTGAAGACCATTTATTTTGTTTGCTATTGTTCTTTGCCTCAAATTGATATTGAATTTTGTCGTAATTCACAACAACTAGGCATCTTTTATTAGGTATTTCGAATATATCTCTTCCTTGAGCATTTTGATTTTAATGGGACACCACTTCCTGAGCATTTCGATACATGTAAGTCGGTCCCTTTACGAACCAAAGACTCATGATACCATGTTAGAGGAGTTTTACACTAGGGAGCATTGAGCATTGGGTCAAGAGCATCACAAGTGAGGGAGACACCACATATTCACCTAAAACCTTAAGGTGATAGGTGTATGAATTCTCCTACTTATAAATACTTAAAGTCACCACATTTCTATTTAATGTGGAACTATTATCCATACTACTCACACTTGTTATATTATTCCAACAAATAATTACTAATATTATAAATAAAACAAGTAAAATTATTTCTTATCTACCAAATTATACTCCTAAAATCACTCAAGTTAACTTACTTTCTCCCTTAAGTATTAATTAAAATGTAATGTAGATAATACATCAAGAGGATCCTCCTATCTCTCTATTATTTATGTTGGTTTTTTTTTATAGAGATTTTAGAGACTCATTTACGAAAGTTTTTGCTAATAATCTTGACATTTCTAATTCTCTTTATCCAAAGCTCGTGGTCATCCCTCTAACCATTGGATTGATCGTGACAATGGTTGATTTAACTTTTAGCTAGAATGTGACTTTTTTTGTTTATTAAAGTTCTCTAAACTAAAGATGGTCCAATTATCTTTTATGTATATATAAATTTTCATTTAAAATTTAATCATATATACAGATAAAGAAATAATATTGCATATGGTCTTTGCTAATGTTGCTTTTAGTATGGAAGGTTTTATTTAGTGGGATAGTTTACCTAATTGTATGGAGCAAGATTTCTTTATGAACAAATTTAAACTACCTTCTTTCATATTCCATTAAGCATTTTTTGATTTGTATGCACTATACTTTTTTTCCTTCACTAAATTTTATCACACTAGATTTTCTTGATAAAGTTTTTAAATAGGCAATTGCTAGAAACTTTTTCTTTCTTATGTATTGGCCTAATTCCCGAAAAGTGTGTTCTCCTTCACACTTTTTAATGACATTTTACTTAAATGTTGTTTTAGATGGTTAGAGACAAGGGTGTAAAACCTAGTTCAAATTACTTCAATATATTTAAGATGTATAGTAGTTATGTTTCTTATTAATTTTAAATTTAAATATGGTATAAAATTTAAGTAGTTATTGATCTTGAATGAGGAAAGTGGTAGCTTCCAACATGTGTGAGTTGCCCCCCAAACATAAAATGACATAGAACAACTTTAGAGGTGTTGAAGACAAGCTAAACACAATTCTTTGGAGTCCATTGCTCCATCTATTTAGGAAACTTTTCTTCATGAAATGGGAAAGTTCTTCTAGAAGCCACAAGAATTGTGGCTGTTAAAAAAACAATAATTATGGATATATTAAAGTCCTCCTAACTATGGACCCTTCAATATATCAATCTAGAGTTTATTTGTTTTTTTGCTCAACTATAGAAAAGTGTTTTAAAATGTTGAGTCTTTCACACGTCACCCTTCACTACCATAGATATCAATCCAAATCCACCGAGCACTCTAAATTGCAAATATTTATTGCTAGAGAAAATCTTTGCGATTTATGTTTCCCTTAAAAGGGAAGTTCTTTTTTTGATAAAATCCCAAATGAGGAAGTTGAGAGATAAGCGAAAGTTGAATAATTAATCTTGATGGACACGTGTCAACTGTCTCCAATAATTTTTAGGATTTTCAATACCATGAGTCATATTTGAATTTTTGTCTCATCCACATGTTATGCAATTATAGATCTAAATTGTTAGATGGAGAATAGACTAGACAACACTTACTTTTTAGATAAATTTTAAAGTTATTTAGTGAAATCAAAAATATTAGCCATTTTGTTTTAGAATTAGATTTTCTCTGCTTATTTTTATAAAATCGACTTATAAGGTGAGATATATCATTATATAAAATTAATATGAGATTTAAATTTTTTTTTATTATATAAAATTAATATGAAATTTAAGTTTTTTTTTTAATATACACCCTTATATTTAATAATATTAAATTTGATATATGATATAAACGGTGGATGGTCCGAATTATTAATATAGAAGATTTGATTTTTTTAATACATTTTTTTGCGTTTAATGTTTCTTTTTAAGTTTGATGGCATATATAAATGGTGAGTGGTCCATATTAATAATCTTATGATATCATTATAGAATTAAAATTTAACTTAATTCATAAAACTCATCTTTAAAATAAGAAATATATATATTTTTTGGATTCTATCTTTAAGGATGGGAGTTTTTTCAAAAAAGGAAATATTAGTTGCCCAATCTTTAATTAAATATATGAATTTTAAAGTTGATTTATTAGAGTTATAATTAGTGGGAGAAAAAAAGATGGGTAGAACTACCTATTAGTACTATTTTTATTTTAAATATTATTAGTTGTTCTCTTTTATAATAATTTTTATTTATTACTTCAATATTTCTTTATATACAATAAATAATTAAGAATATTTTAACGATTCATAATTAATATTGAATTGAGATTTTGATGAAAAGTGAATATAAGCAATTTTTAAATGTTACAAGTAGTAAAGACAATAGGGGTAACTCGTATGAAAGAATAATTATTGTATATTTTTTATAAAAAGTATTTTTAGTTGATATATTTTCTATTTTTTTTATTTATGTGGAATATTATAAAAAAATTAATTTTAATACATATTCAATGTAATAAATTTATACTATCAACAAATTACAGTTAACTATACGTAAATTTAAAATTAATTATTATTAAACTAAATATTTTATTAATTTAACTATTATGATTAATCGATAGTGATGGAATATCAAAATTAAATATGCTAAAAGAAAAATATATATATTTAAGAATGAACAATAGACAAGATTTGAATAAGGGTATTATAATATTTGTCTTTATATTTATGATTTGAAGAAAAAAAATTGTACTCAAATTCATATTCACATGGACACTAACATTTGTTTTTGTAACCTATCTTATGGGTTCCTAAATATTCATATTTATATTTGTTTATCTACATTTCTAATAAAGAATAATATATTAATTATAATTTATTGTATAATTTCAAAATTTTAAAAATATTAAAAAATTTAAAAATAATATTGTTGAGTTAAAAAGTAAACAAATATTTATATTAAAATACATATAAATTTAATAGTGATATATTTAATAAAATAGATGAATTAACATCTATACATAATAATAAAAATAAAATTATATAAATATATATCGACGAAGTGGGTATTAAACTATATTCACCCCTATACTCATTTATTTTCGCAAATTATTATTAGTACTCGTATTCAGATCCATTTTATAGAATTTTATTATACCAATTATAGATAATTTTTGTACATTTTTAATAGAGATGAATTCAATTACCATACCTAAAAGCTAGTGATTAAAAATATTAATTTTTTCTTATCTTTACGAAATTATCAAAATTTCGTTTTTCATCTCTATAAACATATCAAATTTTTTAGTCTATATAAAATTATTTTTAAATTGATTTCAAGACTCATTACATATTTTTTCTTCATATTTATATAAAAACAAGTTAAAAATTTTTAGAAATAAAATAAATATTGTTTTAATAAAGAGACTGTATTCTATTCATATAATTATGAAGAAAAAAAAATGTACTAATGATTTTGCAGCATAACTCACACTTTAACACTAAGTGAAAAGAGTTAAAAAAAAAAAAAAAAAAGTCCTTTTTCTTAGGTTGTGGTTGGAGTTGGAGAGAAGAGCATGCACTAAAAAGCAACAATGTTATGTTAGGGTGGTCGACAACAATAAGTAAACAAACAAAAATGTATGAAAGTGGGTCCCATCTAAGATAACTTAATTAGTGGTTGTGAATCAAGTTTCAGTTCTTGTCAACCCCACATTGCTTTTCAACTTGTGGCTACCAAGTAACTTCATAATACTAGTAACTTCACAACAAATTCAACTACCTCTCTCTCTCTCTCTCTCTCTCTCTCTCTCTTCATAACCCTCTCAACCCAAAAGGCCCCCAACTCCTTCAAACAACTTTTCATCATCAACAACCACCACCACCACCTTCATCATCCATCTTTATAATACTCCATCATTTATTTTTTACAATAAAAAAACTTTCTATCATGGATTTGGTGATTATCTGTTTTTTTTTTAAATATTTTTTTATTTATAAAAATTTTATTTTTTTTATTTTTTTTCTGTATCTGACTTTTCAACTTCTGTTTCTATTTTGTTGTTTGATTTTTTTTGAAGCAATGAAAGTGAGAGAGTTTAATTATGCGAACGCTTTGTGATGCTTGTGAGAGCGCAGCCGCCATCGTTTTCTGTGCTGCTGATGAGGCTGCACTCTGTCGTGCTTGTGATGAAAAGGTTCGTTTTTATTTTATTTCATTTCTAATAATCACTGTATTCAATTTCTTGTTCATTTTACTTTTGATTACTCATAAATCATTGCCTCTGAATGTTGATGTTTTTGTAACTGTAATGTTTCATTATTGATGTAGCAATATTCAATTTTGGATTCTTGCTTAACTTGGACAAGTCCATTTATGTCGGATTAGGTTAAAGATTGGACCACTTGCAATTTAGTTTCATGATTCATAAATATAATTTGATTTCATATATTTTTGTGTAAATTTGAAATCTAAGGTGACACTTTAATTGATAATAGTTTCTCAAAGTTTGTAACTTTTGCAAATTGTAGGTTCATATGTGCAATAAGCTAGCTAGTAGACATGTTCGGGTTGGTCTTGCGAGTCCAAGTGATGTGCCGCGCTGCGACATATGTGAGAATGCACCTGGTATGGAGTTTCCTTTTTTGATCCTTGGTTGTTCTTCGGGTGTTTTCGGTTGCTTATGTGTTTAACCTTCTTTCCAATCTTGTCGTAGCTTTCTTCTATTGCGAAACCGATGGAAGTTCCCTTTGTTTGCAATGCGATATGATAGTTCATGTTGGTGGTAAAAGAACACATGGAAGATATCTTCTCTTTAGGCAAAGAGTTGAGGTGTGTATATCCTTTATCCAAAACGAATTAGTCTCGAAATTGTTATCCGTATGCATTTTTTTATAGGCGGAAAATGTTACTATGTTAGTATTTTCTCCTTCATCAGGGTTTGAACGAACGATCCTCTAACCCTTATCTTCGTACTTAAAATGTATAATATCTCTTTGTTCCATAGTTTCCAGGTGATAAACCTAGTAATGCAGAGAATCCGTCTTCGCAACCTTTGGATCCGGGCGATATTAAAAGAGGACAAAGTCCACTTCCTAAACAAAAATCAGGAGAGAAGCAACAGAATCATAGGATGCCTCCGGTTCCAACTTTAGAACCTAATGCCGATGGAAATACCAAGATGGATAATAAATTGATTGATTTGAACATGAAGCCTAATAGAATACACGATCACGGATCGAATCACCAGGTTAGAGTTCGTAGGAAATGAATTTTATTTGGATGGTTATAAATTTCTGCTGCGATAAATTCATGTTTGACATCAATTAGATGCCCGGAGATGCTTTCAAACTGAATACACATTAATCACAAACCCTTAAGAGGACTTGGATTTTCTATAGTCAGATATTCTCATATTCACGCAGTCCGCGTGTTGGTTACTGTTGGATTGAGATCAGAGGTCTAGATTTCAAACTTGATATCCGAACCGTCTGATTTCAATCTAACAATCATGAAAATATGCTGACTGCGTGAATATGTGGAATTTTGTGGTTTGAAGTAATCACCTTAAATATTTTTTCTTTTTTTTCTTGGCAGTCATAGATTATGCTACTAGACAATGCTATTCAGAAACCAGAAATCAAATCGACGAAACAAAGCTTCATGATTGTTTAGAAAGGTGGCATGTTCTATTAACATCATGTAGTGTGGCAAACGAGGCATTTGAGCATCAAAGTCTGAAGAAATTGTTGTCCCTCCCATCATGTAGGAAATTAGGTTTTTTAGTTCAACACATAGTATCTGTACTGCAAAGCATTGTTAATTACAACACCTGTGATCCCTTTCAATGAATTGTGTGTTGAATTTTGTTTTTCAGTTTCAGTTTTGTATGTGACATTTGTGCTCCACCCAGAACATAGAGGATGATACTTTTTCTTTCTTTTTTATAAATAAAAATATAAAATGTGTTTAGCCAAACCATGTTTTATGCCTTGTTTGTTTCGTTGGTTTGTGAATTATTGGCATCTATCTGTCAATCAATCTCTATAAAAGACACCAGGCGTGATTTAACAACCAACCATGATTAGACTTATGACGGCTATTTTGGTTCGTTTACGCTGTAGAAGAGTCTAGAAACTATACTATTTGCTTTATTGACATGAATTAAACCAATTTCTTTCCATAAGCTATTTCAATAAAGAAGAATAGTTACGGTATAATCAGCACGGAGGGATGTAGAAGTTTCTAAGTTTTGAACAAAGTCACTAACAAAATTAATGTCACCACAGGCAACCAAGCCATGATGACGTAGGCTGTCTAATCAGAGTTGCATCGGTTGATGAAAGGTTCAATAAGAAAAGTTTAATTCAAGGGTCCCTTTTTATTTCGTGATATTCATCCAACGGTCTTCCGTTTCTCACGTTGGATCAACCGATGATGGTTTTAACCATCACTTTTATATAAAGCGATTCTGAGTCATGTTTAGATATTCACTCATTTATATATTTACAAGTTTTTTTTTATTCACTTGAACGTTGGAGTGTTAACTTTGTATGTATTTATTCTCTCTGATCATTTGAGACCTCTACCGTCATACTAGAAGACTTTTTACGGTGGTCATCTTTGTTGAGAATAATACATCAAGTGAGTTGGAGCCTCAAATTCGTCTCATAAATGTGGAGAGTTGAATATTTATAAGTGGGAGAACCCATACACCTATCACCTTAAGGTTTTGGGTGAATATGTGGTGTCTCTCTCACTTGTGTTGCTCTTGGACCAATGTTCAATACTTCATAGTGATAAACTCCTCCAACAAATGTTATCACGAGCCTTTGGTTTGTAAATGGACCGACTTACTTGTGTTAAAATGTCCATGAAGAAGTGTACTGTTGAAATCGTAATGCCCAGGAAGAGGTGTATTGAAATGCCTAGTAAGAGGTGCCTAGTAATAGGTGTCAACGGTGGCACAAATGTATGTGGACAAAAGAGATTCCACTTGAGTGAGAGTATTGTGGACTCACACTTGAGGGAGAGTGTCGAGAATAATAAAGTCAAGTGTGAGTTGGAGTCCCACATTGATTATAAATGTGGATAGTCGATCATTTATAAGTGGGAGAACCCATACACCTATCACCTTAAGGTTTTGGGTGAATATGTGATGTCTCTCTCACTTGTGTTGCTCTTGACCCAATATTAATGCTCCCTAGTGATAATCTCCCTTAACAAACTTCAACCTATGTTTTGTGTTCCACTAATGTCTAGTGGTGTCGTCTGTGGGAATCGCCTTCTGATTCTCACGAATTACCTTCACGATTTCCTAATTTATTTTATTGCGCCATCATAACCACTTATGTCAACAGTTTCAGGCGTTGTAATTATATTTGTTACAAAGTTTTGATCATTATTAACCTCAAAATTGATTCATGTAATCACCTCCAAATGACAGGATCCAAGGCGACACGATCTACGACTCACCCAAACACTATTATCGTACTTAATGTCTAATCAAAGATTCAAATGCTTCAAAATACTATCATATTAGTTCTTACTCTTACGACAGAAAAAAAAACACCTCAGCACCAAGATGCTCTATTTTTAATCAATTTCTCATTCACATCACTACATCATACTCCAATTCTACAACTGATCAAACATGAATCTCTTCAACCTCTGTCATTCAAATAGTCGTTTTTGTTTCATCCATTACAGCAACCTCATCTTTCACTATTGTTCCATCCTTTTAAACCAAATATGTCACGAAGCCTCCAACAACCTCAAACAACACTAGGAATGCCCAATGCTAATGAATGTGTGGCGAACATCTACAATTTAGTGCAAGAGAAAAATGTGACTCTCCTCAGTGAAAGTTTATTTTGTGTGCATAAAAGAGAATCTGTAGAAAATTTATTGGTAAATTATTGCTCAGCTAGAGGGTCAAAGATATTGAGAAAGTGAAGATCATCCAAAATGAGATCTTTCCCTTGATGATTATGACAACCATGTCTAATTTCTAAGTGTCAAGGATCCTCGTTGATGGAGGAAGCTCGTGCGACATTATATACGCTGAATTGTTTGAGAAGTTACACTTGAAGAATGAGAAATTGTCACCTTACATGGTTATTGAAGTATAAGCCTTCAAAGGTTCAGTGACTTTACCTTGGGATTTCATAGAGCTTACGATGGACCTCAATGAAGGAAGAGACACTAAGATGGTGGAATATTGATAAGTGGTTTTTGCATCACTTTTATTAGTCGTTTTACTTTGTTATATTCTTGTTTTCGTTTGATTTACTTTCTTTTTATCATGTTTTATGTTGGGTAATATGTTTTGGATGGTTTCCAAGCTTAAGAAATTATTCAGGACAAAAGAAGAACAAAAACGAACAAAATGCGAAAAAAGGCAAAAAGTGAATTTTTGCCATACAAAGACCATGGACCTTCCTATCACCATATTTAACTTCATGAAGTCAAAGACCATTTCCTTTCACGAGGATATGTCTTTGTTTATTCGTTATGGACGAGTTCTTTCAGAACTCTTATCTCAAGAAGGAATTGTGAAAAAAAGAGCAAGAAGATGGCTTAACTGAGACTCTTGAAACCCATTGGAGCTTGAAGCTTGATGTAGCTGAAAGAACTTATGGTGTTGGACCTTATGTTCCCTAGTCTCCTTTTCCCATCTTTTCTTTTGTATCTCTTCTGTTGTATTCTGTATTTTTAAAAAAATTAATGAAGTTTTTCTTTTCCAATCACCTTTATTTTTGTTTTATCTTATTCTTTTTTATTGATGACAAAATGGGAGAAATAGAATATGATTTTGATATATATATTTATTCCATAATAAATCTGAAACATTTTATTCTTATGCCTTACTTTTTGGGAGATTTATTAAAGGAAATCAGATATGTGTTGTTAAGTTTATCAACCAAGAAATCAGATATCTCATTGATAAAAATCAAGCTCTAAAACTCTTATGTTAACAAGTTAAACATTTTTTATCATGCTAATTATTTTTTTGGAAATATAAAAAAAAGTCTCAATCTTAAGAGAGCTTACAAACCTCACTCTGAAGAAGTTGAGAATAATTTTGATAGTGTAAGACTTAGGGGGAGCTTACAAATCTCACTCTGAAGAAGCTAAGAATAATTATGATAGTATAAAACTCAGGGAGTGTTTGCAAACCTAACTCTGATGTTTTAGAGATTTGATTATCAAAGTAAAAGTTGTTCATCAAAATACGTAGATTTGTCATCATCAAAAAGGGGAAGATTGTTGGAACAAGTTTGATTATGCACTATCCTTGAGTTTTGATGATAACAAAGCTTAATATATATATATATATATATATATATATATATATATATATATATATATATATATATATATATATATATATATATATATATATATATATATATATATATATATATATATATATATATATATATATAGAAAATAATTTAGTACTCTAATTATTTTGTTAAGTGCGCAGATCAAAGAAAATCAATTTTGACTCTAGAGAAGTTAACTTTGGACGATCAGACTCTAGACTGTAGATGCACTCTAAACCAAAGGAATAATCAAAAGTGTATTTAAATGAAAGTCAATCATCTGGGTTACTAAGTCATCGCTTCTTCAAGAATCTATCCACAATGACTATGATAAAGACTTTGATAATTCAAGCCTCTGAAGTCTCAGGACTCTGAACTCTATAGACTCTAAAGTCTCATTCTCACCAAATTTTGAAGACAGACTCTAAACTCTATTCAAGCTTCAGCATCTTACATACCAAGCCTCTACTAGAAGTTAATGACTAAAAGTCAATGACTGTAAGAAGAACATGTGGCAAGAGTACGAATAGTACAATATCAAATATCTTTTCCATTACCCTAAAAATCAGTGGGAAAAAAAGGATTGTATTAGTGTATCAAAGTGGTTCCTTTTGTTCCATCCTCTCACGCACTATATGCTGTAAAAGTCACTCTATTGTTATAGAGTCAAATGACCTTCATACAACTGTGATGTTGAGGATATTTCAATTCTACCCTCCAACATATCTATTCATCAACTATATAAAGAGGTATTGGAAGTTTGGAAATGTTACAACATTGCATAACACTGAAAAACACACGTAAAAGAAATAAAGAAGTGTTTTCACGCTAAGAAAACTATCACATTCATACTCTTAGAACACTTTCTTGAATATATTTCTTAAGGGTAATCTTTTATTTTTAACTTGTGCATCTTCTTATTTTAGAAGCAACTTGTAAACACAATCTTGTATTCTTAACCTTTAGTTAAATATCTTGAGATACTAGGTTATAGTTAGGATTCTTAAGAAGTCTTAGACAAGTTGTGTTTGAGTTTTTAATTAAGTATTTGATTATTGGGTTAAGTCCTTATTGAGAAGGCAAAATCACTCTGGCGGGTGGACTGGACGTAGCTTAGTTAATGCGAACCAGGATAAAATTAATTGTGTCTTTTATCTATGTTGAATATTTATTGTGTGTCTTCTTGGGTTGCGATTTTTTTTTAATCTAGAAACTCAATTCAAACCCCCTCTTTCTTGTATTTCTTGAACATTCACAAATGTCATATCTAAGATG